AACTGTGGGTGGCATGTGGCGGCAACACTCACCTGACGATGCAGTGTGTGAGAGAAATCGAAGGTAGTTTTTTCGAGGAAGAAAAGGGAGTCGTGACAGAAAACGCGTGGATACGGATAAGGCTAGAAGGGATAAGACTAGAAGGAGATGAGTGGCTCCACAGAGACGCGCGTCACTTAATAGAGGCGGCCTAAGAAACAAAAGATAATAGAATGATTTCCAACATTTTCAAGAAAGAATCAACAAGTAATTAGGCCTCGTGCTAGGCCGGTTAATGCTTCATCCTCAGCCTTGCCGGTCTAGACTGAGAATCATTCTCTTGGTCATAAACACCCACAAACTTACGCAACCTTGATGCCACCCAAAAACAAGAGGAAATCCTATTTGGGGCTCAGGACATCTTCAACGTGGACCCTCGAACCACCTGCAACCGTATGGATTGAGCGGCCTGCACACATATGCCATCTAACGTGGTACCTCATCGGTCCGCGGAGCAGTCCGGACGTCAGTTTTCCCGCAACTAGAAGTAAAGTAGGGATTTTACAGGAGTCCGGACATCTACATAACGAACAAAAGCCACCTGCGCGGAAGGTGATATGTTTGGCGGAAGGCTAGCATGTTTAAAGGCCAGAAGATGATTAGCATTTGGCGGAATCATCTCTGAAAATGACCATCACTCCACTCACTCATACGGCCTTCCTTAGTTTGTTATAAGTAGGTCGGGGCCCATAGACTTTCCTCCACCAGCTTCAAAGTTTCCTCGATTTTTAGGGTCGTTTTCTCTATGTTTCTACTTCTGTTTTCTTTGACAGTTTCATATTTTCATTGGCAGTTTTCACTTATGTTTTCTGGCAGTTTTCTATTAGGGTTTTTATTTTGTTTTTGTTTTTTCTTTAATTTTTAATTTTCTATTTTTTTAAATCATGAGATTTTAAAAAAACTAAGATCATTTTTCAAAGTGGTGATTTTTAAATTCGTGAACTATTTTTGCAATTGGATAAAATAATCTTAAATTCAGGAATATTTTTTAGTTAAATATATATTCAATAATTTTTTTATTTGGTGGATATTTTTTCAATCAAAAATAGTTTTTAAATTTGCAGGGAATAAAGTAATTCATGAACTTTTTTTAATTCCATAAACTTTTTAGAGTTGCGAGAATATTTTGTTCTTCCGAATATACATTTTTTATATACAAATGTATATTTTTTTTAGTGAACCAGTAGTTGTTGGCGACCGAGGTGTGCGAAAGTGATCCATATGAGTGACTTAATTGACCGCGGGCTGCCAAGGGTATGCATGAGCGCCAGGGGCACTCAAGAGGTGCTCCCCAGAGAGGCGACACTGAAAATGCATTTTTTTTTAATTTTTTTGGAAATTCTAAACGTTTTGCAAAGTGATTTTTTCAATATTTGATTTTTGTTTTTTTTATGAATTTATGGAGAAAATAGTAAAGAAATAAAAAAGAAACAAAAACTAAACAGAAAATCGGAAAAGTCATTAAAGGTATAAATAAAGATAAAAAATGGGGATTCAGGAATCTTGTAGGAGGTTCAAAAAGCGGTCAGAAACATTGCCAAAACCGGGTGGCTCGGACATGTGATGCGTCAATTTGGCCGGTTTATCTCGGATTCGCTTGCTCGCGGGCATGTGTGAAGCCACAGCAATTTGCTGCAGCCAGCCAGCGGCGAATAGGATTCGGGTGCTGCTATGTCTCGTGTACAGCGAGTTGAGTCTTCTGACTCGCTGAAGCGCGCGAGGATATGATCCGGCCTAGTTCGAGGTAGGTACATTGCCTCGTTTTCTTTTTCTGTTTTTTATCTTTTTATT